TAACGAAATGTTTGTTAAGTAGACCATTTTGAAACAAAATTGATAGTTTATAGATCATTTTGAAAGAAAAAATGGTTTCTAGACTAAATTGAAATAAACCACATAGTTAATAGACTACTTATTGAATTTAGCCTTTTTTATTTTAAATAACTACAATTTTTTTTCTCACCCTACTTGATCTTTTTAAATGGAGGAAAGAGATTATTCAATTCTTCTTAATAGCTTCACTACAAGCTATTTTTATGTCAATGCAATTTTTTATTCATCTGGTACATTGAGTGGCTAAAGACTCATCTACAATGATGGATCAAAGTGTCATAGGTTTTGTGGATCAAGAAATATCATAGATCAGTGTTTTTTTCCAACAAAATAGTAAAATAATGGTTAAAACATGCATTGTGTCATTTTAATTGTAGAAGAGATACTTAAACCAAAGTTCTTTTTTTATTTGTACCTTTGTGCATAATGAGTGAAATCTTACAAGCATGTTTAGAAGCACATATCAGATAATGAGATACAAGACCTTAGGCAGCCACTAGCCATTCTTCACTCTGATGAATGGTGATACACAAGGAGAAAGGCCAGGCAAGTGGAGTAGGGCAGCAGGCTACTGATACCACTAAAATAAAGAGAGCAGAGACTCTCAAATTGTTCATGAAATCAAATTTAGAATTCTGCTTAAAGTGTCCTACATTCTACATAAGTGGCATTTGGTGTTAGTCGCCTCCTACTTCCTACTTACGTGGCATTTGGTGTTAGTTTTCAAATAGATGAGCATAGAGCTTCTGTTCCTTATATGGTGGCGGGCATGTTGTAAAACTACTTTAGTTGCTTTTGAAGATCTTTGTCACGGATCTGATTTTCCAAGTTTATTTTGATGAGCAATTTTTTTGACCTTTGCAGAATGTGCATCTCTTTCTACAATTCCTCATGGTCGCTGGTACTGTGAATATTGTCAGAACTCAGTTATGAGAGAAAAGTTTGATGCCATAGATCAAATAACCAAGAGATGCATACGCATTGTAAAAAACATTGAAGCTGAACTAAGTGGTTGTGTACTATGCAGGTAATGGTTATACACTGCCAGGATAAGTTTGCTTTAAGCCTATGGACTTCATTGAGACCATTTTGTGCATCTTACATCACTACTTGGAACTTTTGCCATATCTCTGTAAAATTGATTCTTTATGCCAACAGTACCCTTTTGGCTGTGGCTTACATTTTTTCAATGCTTTTCTCAGGTGTTCTGATTTTAGCAAATCAGGGTTTGGTCCGCGTACCATCATACTTTGCGATCAGGTATTATTTTCACTTTTAATGCAACTTTGTGTTAGATTTTAGTTCTTTTTCATTTAAACATGGTATTTAATGTGTATTTACCTTTTTACTTCTAGCCTTCTAGGGATGATGAACATATCTTTTTCTTTCTAATTCTTGTTGTTTTTGCCAGTGTGAGAAAGAATATCATATTGGCTGTTTGAGGAGTTATAAAATGGCTGATCTAAAGGTATATGCATCAATGGTTTGTACTTATGTTTTCTCCTTTTTTATTTTTTTGAACACAACATTTGTTTTCTTGGACTACTTTCTATGATCAACTCTTTTTCTGGTAAAAAAAAAAAAAGGGAACACTCAGAGACTGTTTCTATGTGCATTGTGCACCAGGAATTGCCAAAAGGGAAGTGGTTTTGTTGCACGGATTGCAATAGGATCCATACAATATTACAGAAGTTGCTCATTTGTGGAGCTGAAAAGATTCCCAACTCTCTTTTGGATGTTATAAAGAAGAAATATGAGGAAAAGGGTTTAGAAACAACTGCAAACCTCGATGTAAGATGGAGGCTTCTGAGTAGCAAAATAGCTTCTCCTGAAACTAGGTTATTGCTTTCTCAAGCTGTTGCTATCTTCCATGTAAGGACTGTTCATACTCAGTTTTTATAGCTTAATACTTCCAAATATTTACTTTATTTTCCATATTGTATAGAAAAAGAAAAGAATTATAAATTAGTGATGAAGCATTTTGCTTTGGTGATGGGACATTGATAAAGAACAGCTTCTTAAGTAAAGACTCTCTCTAGGGTTTGCTTGGTTTTGGAAACCACCTTTGCTACTGAATAAATATGCAACTGGTAGTGGCCTATCAATCTTAGACATCATTGTGCTTGGCGCATGCTACTCAATACGAGTCTCTCACTTTAGACCTGTGATTTTCTGTTGTAAATGAATCAAATTATCAGTATTCTGATATTATGTTTGATCATCTTTTTTACAATTTACAATTTATCTAAATTTATAATTATGCAGAGAAGGAACAATGTTGAATGTGGGTTCTGATATGCATATACTTAATGGCATTTATCTGGATGTTTGTATTTCAGGAGTCCTTCAACCCTATAGTTGATCCAACCACTGGCCGTGACCTTATCCCATGTATGGTTTATGGGTAAGCATGGGAAATTTTTCATTCATCCTTGTTCTGTTTGTCAATTGTGTAATCTTTATCCAGCTCTTTTTATCAATAAACATGTGTTTCTCAGAAGGAATTTGAAGGCCCAAGAGTTTGGGGGAATGTACTGTGCAGTATTGACAGTCAAGTAAGATCTACATGTATGCATAGTTGCATATGATTTAAAGCTTCACATAAATTAGATGTCAGAATGTTGATAATATTCTCTTTTGTTTATTTTGCAGCTCACTGGTTGTTTCAGCTGGAATACTTAGAGTTTTTGGGCAGGAAATTGCAGAACTCCCTCTAGTTGCAACTAGTATTCCTAACCGTGGGAAGGTGAGACTCATTTTGATCTCATATAAGAATCTGCAGTTTTGTAGTCTTCCATAAATTGGCCTTCATTTTTCACATTTTTGTGCAGCCTTATCCAACCACATTTACTAATGTATACAATTGGCTTCTTGATCTTCATTTTCATTGCTGTTATAGTAACCTTGTTGACCATGTCAAACAAGTTTGGATTTTTGGGATATGGATTCTGGAAATGATTTTTCAATAAGCTGGTTTCTGATTCAATTGACTTCATTCTGAAAATATATGACCAAGCTCAGTGGGGAAATCAGTGTTAATGGAAAAGTAGCATGTAAGAGTAGCACTGCTTGATGATGCAAAGGTAATAAAATTGTTAATCAGTTGTCATTGATGAAAATCTCTAGTGTTGTGGAAATGATTAAACCACGCTAGGAGCTTGGCCAAAAAAAAAAAAACCATGCTATGAGAACTGAGTTTATCTGTGAATGTCCACAATTTTCACAATCTGGCTCATGAATATATCATCTTTTGTGCACGATATTGTTAGTTTTGTTCCCTGTCTCCTGCTGTTAACTTCAGTCCAATCTCAATTTGCTAAATCACCCTGCAGGGCTATTTCCAATTATTATTCTCCTGCGTTGAGAAGCTGCTAGCATTCTTGAATGTAAAAACCCTTGTGCTTCCAGCCGCTGAGGAAGCCGAGTCAATATGGATAAATAAGTTTGGTTTCAATAAATTAGAACCAGATCAGGTTAGGTCCAATTTTTCTAAATGTGCCAATACCTGTCCAGTATATTCCCTCTTTATATTGAAATTTCCCCTTTGCACTGTGCTACAGTTCATCAATTATAGGAGAAGCTGCTGCCAGATGGTAAGATTTAAAGGAACATCCATGCTACAGAAAGAAGTTCCTGCCTGTCAAATTGCTAGTGCTTCCGAGCTTACACAATCCCATACTAAGACAGAGCTAACGGCATCTGGTAACTAAGGAGAATAGCAAAACCATTCTTTCCAATTTTTTTGTTCTTAATTTTAATTAGTTAGTGTACTCGGTTATTAAATTGCATCATTTGTAACTCCGTCACAATTAGTTGGCTTTATTGTGCTTGGCAAGCAGTCCTCACATTTTGCTTACGAATTAACATGGTTGGACATCGCCTTATTGTAAATTGCCAAATTGGCATGTTTTCACTCCCAAAAATGCTATATGTGTTCAGTTCAAAATTTTAAGTCTTCTACGAAAGTTGCAGCAATTGAAACAAACTGGGGGAAAAGGAATAGCAGGAAAATCATTTACTTACCAGAAGTATATTTGATAACATGAAAGTCTTCTACAGTCCGCTTGGAATCGTCAGCCCAGTGTGAGAAAAGACATGTACCCTTTTATGAACGAGGGATGCAAGAAGATTCATTAATGGTATTTATCCTTTCTTACCTCGGACTGATATTTTTTCTTGCATGACGAACTGTAAACTGTAAAACTTCAGTCTCCATTGATAATGTTCCTACTTCTATATTCCGTCCATAATTTATCTTTCCTTAACAAAAGTGCAATTAGTTAGTTTCCTCTCTAAGCAATTGCAAAATCTGGAAGTTTCACCGGCCACCCATGAAGTTTCAACGCCTTGAGCCAAAAAAGTACAAAGACCCCCATCACTACCTTACCATTTTTTTATCACCACTCTCCCAGCTACCACATGCAAAAGTTGCAGCTCTCATCATGCCCACAAAATCTAACTTAGCGTGTGCATTTTCCAAACCCCTTAATGCTTAAGCTTTCGTCTCTGCTCTCCCTTTTCCTCTCTTTTTTTATCCCATTACTAGAAAAAGCAGAGGTCGTAATGTATAATGTATGTAATCATCAGTACACCCACAAGCACTGCATTTAAGTCTTGTACATATCTTTCCTCCCACGCTAATCATCTCTCAGCCCTATTTCATTTCTTCACATACACTATATATCACGACCTTCCCCTTCAAAACAGCATTGTACCATGAATAATAACAAGTGCACATTAACCATGAGAAACATACCGACTTTCTTTTGGCTTTTGGCCTTTGCCATTGCACTTTTCTCCGTCTTACTTTCTCTCCTCAACATCCTTCCTTCCTCTACTTCCATCACCACTCTTAATGATGTTTCTCAACTTTCTTTTCTTGAGAACGTAGTAAAGCAAAGTGGTGACTTCTTTTCTTTACTAACAACGATGGCGTCTGGAAGCCATCATCATCACCGCCACCACCACCACCACGACCGGAGGAGGCCCAAAAGAAGATGCGAAGGGGTTAAATGGAAGTCTATTCTCATATCTCATTATAAAGTTTCACTTGTATTGACAGTTGACTTGAAGGGTTGCGCGAATTTTAGCAGCGTGCAGAAGGCAGTGGATGCTGCTCCAGAGTCTAGTCCCTCTAACACCTTGATCATAGTTGATTCTGGAACTTACAGGTCATAAGTTGTGCAAAGTTTTAGAGATTCAACCTCTTTTCTTATCTGGGCTGCCTTCAGCTGTACTAAATCATAGACATGGTGGCAGGGAGAAGGTGACAATTCATGCTAACAAGTCAAACTTAATAATCCAAGGTCAGGACCTTCTCAATACTGCAATAGTATGGAATGACACAGCGAATTCCACTGGAGGAACTGTGTACAGTGCTTCTGTCGCCATCTTTGCTCCTAACTTTACAGCTTACAACATCAGCTTCAAGGTAACTCTTCCTGGCTCAGTCATTTGCTTCATTCAAAAACTTGAAACTGATTCTTTCTAGCTCTTCTGGGGCTGTTTACCGGGTTTGGTTTTGATTCCTTGTAAAGAATGCAGCTCCTGCGCCACTTCCAGGTGACGTTGGAGGGCAGGCAGTGGCTCTTAGGATAGCCGGGGATCAGGCAGCATTTTATAATTGTGGGTTTTATGGGGCTCAAGACACACTCCATGATGATCGAGGCAGGCATTTTTACAAACACTGTTTCATTGAAGGTTCCATTGATTTCATCTTTGGAAATGCTAGATCACTCTATCAGGTACTGTAATTTATCTTCAACAATAAAATATCGTGCTTTCTTTTTTCTCTTGCTAATCCTGTAAGATTGCTACAATGTCAGGGATGCGTCCTTCATTCCATAGCAATGGAAGATACATCCGGGATTGTTACAGGAGCCATCACAGCTCAAGCAAGGCAGTCGCTGACAGAGCAGACAGGGTTTTCCTTTGTGAACTGCATCATTCGTGGTACTGGACGAGTCTGGCTTGGACGAGCTTGGGGACCTTATGCTACTGTTGTCTTCTCCAACAGTTACATGTCAGATGCTGTGTCTCCTGATGGATGGAATGACTGGAGAGACCCTTCCAGAGACCAGTCTGTTGTTAATCCCTGTTGCTGCTGATTCTCTGTTCTTTGCTCTTCATTTTGCTGCTCCCTAACTTTCCCCCCCTGTTTACTGCAGGACAGTGTTTTTCGGGGAATACGGGTGCCTGGGACCGGGAGCAAACTACACATACAGAGCTTCATATGGGAAACAGCTGATGGACTATGAAGCAGCCCCTTTCATGAACATTTCATTCATTGATGGGGATCAATGGCTTCAAGAAGAGTACATCTCAACCAAAATGTCTATTTTGTACAATAGGGACGATGATTTCATTCATATTTACTGATATTTGTAACATTTTGATCTTCTGCTTATTCATACTAGATACAGAGGTAGCCTATAGACATCTCTGACAATTATTCGGAAGAACAACAGAAAACAAGAACAGAAATATTATGAAGTTTGAACATCTTTTACTTCATTCTTATTGTGGAGTTCTTCCCTTTTACTTATGAAATTCCAAGACAGTAAAGAACTCATCAACATGGAGAAGGAATGCGCGAAAATGAGTGAAACCTGCAGAGAGACCAAGCTGCTTGAACTCTTCCTCGGTCCTATGCTTTCCCTTGGCTCTGTAAATGGTCATGACAAGAATATCTTCTTCCAGAAGCGCACGTGTTCTATGGCTATCATCTGATTCCTTGGGCAACACTGGCTCATATGCGATCAGCTTTCCTCCAGTAGGCAGTGCCTTCCAGCAATTCTCCAATATCAGCTTACACTCATCATCTGTCCATGTAGCCAATATCCACTGCCAAAATAACACAAATTCACTCCATAAGCCCATTAAATTAGGCATCATTCAACTTCATATCATTCTCCCTGTGAAAATCTGTTTCGTCAAAAAGTTTAAACTACTGACCAAGGCTTAAAGAAAACATCAATCCCTACTTCACGCTGTCATGACAACCCAGTTGGGTTAGAAGAAAGCATGACAAGTATGCTTATACCATATTGCTAGAAATTTGCACTACCCAATATTAATGGAGGATGGAGAATGGGGCTATCATGCTTCAAGTTAGGAACTGTTTTCATCGAAAGGATTAAAACTATATATCGATGGAAACAATAAGATTAAACCTATATTAGAACAGAGCGCGGTTTGTCTGTACTTTTTTGGATTTTTATTAATTATAAATTTTTATAATAATAATAATTAATAATTATAATTAATTAAAGTATTTGTCAATTATCTCTATTTATTCTTTCTCTCTATATTAATACATTATTTGATTATATTCTTTCTCTTCTAATCATTCCTCCTCACCTCCTACCTTATCTATTCACATATACACCATATAATTTGTGAACTTATGCTTTGATGCAATTTTTCTTTGTCTTTTAAAAGGGCACTTTTCTTTATTATTTCATACAGATATTGAACATGTGTTCACAATCATATATTGCTCAATTAAATTAAATAAACACATGTTCAATTGAAATCAAAGAAATCTTTCATTTGAACATTACAAATAATTAATAAAAGAAAAATTATAATGCATCACAAAAACTCTTTTATTTTATTTAAACTTTGACTACAGAATATAAAACTCTCTTTGAATTATACTTTTTACTTTCTCAAATTTTCTTTTGTTATTCTTCTTTTTTTATCTTTTTTTTTTTTTTGTCATGTAGCCCTAATTCAATGAAATAGGAAAGATCGCATATTAAAGCTAATTCAATAAAATAGGAAAGATCACCTTGAATTAACAACCAAAGGCATGTTAGCCAAAAAAACAAAAACCAAGCAAAGACATGAATTGACGTCGGCAACATAGAACCAATAATGATACCATGAATCACAATTATTGAGAAAAAGAACGTCAAAAAATAGAAAAGTTACCCATGAATGATAAATTGCTCTATAAATTTCACCTAACTCCAAGGTACAGTGATGCTATAAAATCAATTCTCACTAGTGCTTTCTCCCTTTCGGTTCTGCTTTTGCTTTCTCTGCACTAAACAGTACCATCATTTTTTTTTCCCTTTATTTTTTTAACTGCTGCCCTACATGTGCACATAAGGAACAATTGAAAACCTAAACCCTTTTTTTATGTCTCAGAACTTGAACCACACATTATACGTTCAGCAAGACTTGTTTGCATTCATTTAGATATTAATTATGGGACCCACACCCTAATATTAATTGAGGTATATATAATTATAATTATAATTATAATTATATAATATTATGGTTAGCATTAAGGTTTATACAGTATTATGGTTAGAAATTCAATTTAATTATGGGACTCACACCCTAATATTAATTGAAGTTTATATGGTAGATTATTATATAATTATATAATATAATATTTTAGGTTTATTTCTTATTTTATTAATTCCTATAATTATTTATATCCTATTCTATTAATTCTTAGAATTATTTGTTATTTTTTAAACTCTATTAGGTATTTAACCCATTGGGTATTTATTAAAGATTTTATCAAAGTTCAATGGGTATTTATTGATAATTTTTTTTAAAGTCCAATAAGTATTTATTTGTAAATTTTAAGGTATTTAGTAGCCATTGGGTATTTATTGAGGATTTTATCAAAATCCGATG